CGCTCGCCTGGGTAACCTTGGAAAGATACTTAGACCCTAAGACCCTTGGTTTCCCCTTCTGTAAATTGGACTCATTAGGTCCACTTGGCTGGGTTGTTATGAGGTTTAGAGATAGTGAAGTGCCTGGTAGGGTGCCTGGCAAAAGTGGATACTCAATAAATACCAGTGACTTCTGTTTTGCTGTAATGGCCCTCCTGGCGGGCCACCAGGAAACATACTCTGGCATTATAGAGTGCTCCAGATTCTTGAGGTTCCCTGGCATCCCTCTACCGTGAAGGGAATTAGCAGTGGTGCCCTAATCACATATCCAGAATGGGAAACTAAAGTCCTTAAACACAGTTAGGCATACAGTTAGTGTTTGTTGAATTGAATTGAAGGCTCACCTTTCCTTAGGATGTCTCTTAGCCTTGGGGCTTAGTGGCAGCTTGTGTCCGTCTGACATCCTGGAAGTTCCCCATGTCAGTGCTTGACCCTCCAACACTCCCCAGAATCATATTGTGGAGGAGGCAATGTCCTCTCCCTCGGAATCCCATCCAAAGGCAAAAGCTGGATGATAACGCTGAGCCAAGTGTCTCTGAAGGGCCTTGACATAACCCTTGACCACAGCATGCTCCAAGAGGAGGCGGTTTAGAATGAAGTCTCTCTTGGAGTGCTTGGTGCTATTTTAATATTAACGTGATTGTGATTGTTATTTCTCCCTTGAGAGAGATGGGTCTTTTTGGGAGGAGTGTTACCCCACTGCACTGATGGGAGCATTGAGTAGAGCCAAGCAGAACAAACTTGGCAGAAGCAAGAATTATAATTGAAAACCACTGGCCCTTCTTGCTTTCTCCAGTGCCAAGTCATGCTTTGCTCGGGCCAGTAAGGTAAAACGCCACCTGGAGAGGAAGAGTTACTGTTCCATAATGGGTTAAAATCAAACCCCATTGTCCCAAGTCAGGCCTTCAGACAGGCTGACTCCCTGCATTTTTCCATGTCAAAATGCTCAAAAGTATTTCCTTTGTGTTGTTGCACTGTAGCCAAGTCAAGTCTTCAGTATTAGAAGTGCTCTGAGTATTTGCAGACAGAGCCAGGTTCGCAAAGGGCTCTCTTGGCTGTATTTGCATGGAAAACCATTGTATCAATACATTTAACACAGACAGTTCTTGTATTTGACTTTTACATCCAGTGAAACGGACCTGGAAATGCTTTTCTGGCTACCTTTTGGTTTGTTCAACTCCATTGTTGGACAGATTTCTCAGACTCTGGTCTTGTCCTTCTAATTTGTATCCACAGATTCAGTTTCAGTTCTAAGAATTACCAGCTAATTTCATGGCGCATTTCAGTCAATAAAGAGATAGATGGTATTTTCTCATCAGAACAGCCTCTTCACCTCTTTCTCCTCCTAATTTCAACCTGAGATGCCCCCCTGGTAGTTGATTTTCCATCACTTTGTACCCCGCTTCCTCACCTCACCGGTCTGAAGATCAGAAGAATCAACAGCAGTGGTCCCCTCCACCCCCTTCTCACCCTGTCCTCAGCCCCTTCCCGCCGCTAAGCCAACCGGTCCAGCCCTGCCTTCTCCAGCCAGACCTGCATTCCTGGGAAGAGCTCTGTGAGCCCTGGAATCTGCACAGGCTGAGCCTTCTGTTGTACGTGCTCAACCCAGTAGTTTTTGATTCATGAATATTAAATAATTAGACATCACAAGGCCTTACCTCCATCTTGCACCTTTTAAAAACATAATAGCTTTTTTATTTCATGGCACTTGACTTTGTTTATTGAGCATGATCAGGGCAGCATTCAGGCTATAGCAAACCTGTTAAATATTTACCCACGAGGCGGATATTTATACATGAATCAGCAGCACTTATCAGTGTGTGACGCTGGAAGTCAGGTTCAGTACGCTCACAAGCTAAGGAACTCCCGAGTTAAAGAAAGGGTGCAGTAAGTGCCATTTTAAAAATAAACTCTCACTTAAAGCAATCCTTCGTAGTATCGGAAGCACTTCACTCACTGAGGCTCACCCTGTGCAGCCAACTCGGTCACCCACAGTGAGACATGGCAGAGAGGTTGGCTCCTCGCATCTGAGATCCAGTGAATCTGGTTGTTTGGTGGTTGGGGTGGGAGAGACTGAAGTATGAACGAAATCGACAGGAATGCTTGCTCAGCTGCTGTGTGGAGGAACGTCAGGAGAGATGGTGGGCTGTACAACACAGTGCCTGCTTCAGGGGAAGTCGGAGTGCTTCTGGAAGCCCTACAGCATCCCTGGAATCCTGGTCCCACTCACTGGTAGCCAGACCCACTGTTTCTTCCCGTCCCTGCAGCCCTTTCAAGAGTAAAAGCCGCCTGCTCTCAGGGAGGCATGGAATTCAGCAGTAACAGCCTGGACTCTGGCAGTAGGCAGGCCTGAGCTCAGATCTTGACTTTATCATTTTCTGGCTGTGTGAATGAACCCAAGGAAATTTCTTCTGCTCTCTGAGCCTCAGTTTCTTCACCTGTAAAATTACACTGATAATTGTCACCTCATTGAATTGTGGGGAGGATTAAGTTCGATCATGAGAAAGCACCTAGCAACAAGTGTTAGTTCCCGATGATCACAGAAGCAGAGTGGAGAGAGACGGGCCTGGCGGCCAAGCAGACGGCCTTTGGATTTCTCCACACCTCTGCTTCTTTCCATCATCACAGGTAATTTTGGTTTAATGGCTGTATTTCAGAAGCAGAGAGAGTCTCAAGTTTAGAGGATTACCCACAGACTATTTTCATTTTTTGTATTCAATTTAATGAATGATTAAGAACTTATCCTGTAATATTTTATACAGGTCAAACCCCACTATAATCAATTCCAGGAAACTGTCCAAATTATTTTTTGGAATTTTATCATGCCAAAGATTGTTCCCCTAAGCAATGAGAAGCTGGACCTTGGTATTTTCTGTGTTACACAGATATTTCCCCCAGTAACTACAGGATATAAATATTGGATTTGTTACTCGTGCTACAGAATTTTCTTCTGGATCAGTTTCCATTCTAATGGAACCAGTGGAACCTTCCGGTTTGAAGTGTGCCCTCTGTGTACATTTGCATACAAAAGAGGGGACAAAAAGCCTTCTTCCAGTTCACCAGAAGTCATAGGAATTTTCCTAGCCTTCTTCAGAGTTTAGAGTAAATCTAAGCCAGTGTCTGCTCTGAGAGTAGCAAACGGAAATGATGTTCTTGCTGATTCTGTGCAGTTGCAGGCTGTAGATGATTCATTAATGTCATACTTAGTCAAATGCTGTCTCATAATTTTCTCAGTTGTCAGAGTTGTTGTGCTTTTTAGGTATCATCTGAATAGAAAAAAGTCAACAGCAAATATTTCCACAGATGTTGACTTCCTCATATCACCTGGGGTTTTATTTGTGTGTTGGGACGTTTTCATTCCATAAATAAATAAACAAAATATTCATTCCTACCAGAAAAATTAATTTCAGAAATCTGTAGTCAATAGGGAGACAGGCTGGGTCTGGAACCCTTTCAGTAGTTCTATGTATTGTTCTCTGTATCGCAAACCCTCGGCTAAGTCTTTCTGCTCTAAACTATTTAGGAATGATTTTCTAGACTGTTATTGTGAAGCACTTTGCTTCCGTTTACTGCCTTGTAACTGTGGGGACTTGGTTAACGAATTATCACAGCATTAACAGATCTTAGGGGTCTTTTTACACCCCATCATATTACAGAGATGGTTCAAGGGGCTTACAGCAGAAAACCTACACATTAAGCTAAAATTCAAATAAGAAAAACAAATTAGGACCAAAGGAAACTGAGAGAGGAAAGAAGATAAAATCAAGATTGGATGATTGCGAGAGGCGCCTGCTTGGGTGGCTCAGTCGGTTAAGTGTCCAATTTCAACTCAGGTCATGATCTCAGTTCGTGAGTTCGATCCCCGCATCGGGCTCTGCACTCACAGCTCAGAACCTGGAGCCTGCCTTGGATTCTGTGTGTATCTCTCTCTCTCTGCCCCTGCCCCACTCGCACTCTGTTTCACTCTCTCTCTCAAAAATAAATAAACATTAAAAAAATAAAATAAAAACAGTTTAAAAGAATGAGATACGAACTGTATACTGCTCAGGACCTGGAAACTATTTCTGGATCGGTGTTGTGTCGTAGTGCTTGGTTTGGTGATTTTTGACTGTACCTTCTTGTTTAGATGGATTGGATGTCAGTGTTGACTTGGACTAGTTACAAACTTCCCACCCATATTGGTCCAGAGACACAGGACCGGGCGGCATGGTGTTCCAGAAGGTGTTTAATTAGTTGCCGCCGTTTAAAACTTGAGATGTTAAATATTCTGGATTTCTGGCTTCACGTGAAAAATTGAGCTCCTATAAGACCGGGCCTGTGTTCCCACGTGGCAGAGATCAGCTGAAGAGAAGAGGTGGAGGGCCCTTTCCACTGGGCAGAAACTCCAGTTCTCTGTGCTCGTTTCCATCACCTACCTGGGCCGGGTAGATCCTGGAGTCTGTAGCCCCTGTCCTAGACCACCTGCCTCACACTAAACATGAGGACGCTAAAGCCCAAGGAGGCTTCCCAGGGCCCCCAAGCTGGTGAGGGCAGAACTGGTCCCTCTGGTACACTGTTGGGAGCGCTGCAGCAACTCAGTTCGGTTCAATTCAGGGGATTAAGGAATGACTTCTGACTTCTCTTTGCCTGGCACGTAACGAAGGGGATGAAAAAAATGTGTTTCCATACTAGGTCCAAGCCATTACTATTGGTAGGACATTTACCCCTGCCAATCAGAATGTGCTAATTTGTACTCTTATGTGACAGAATCATTCGTTGTTATTCATCGGTAACACGAACACGCTGAATTAACAAAGTGGATTAAAATAAATCTAATCATAGAGTGAAGCCCATATTCCCGTTGTCATCATTCCAAGCGGTTCGTGGGCAGACCTTGGTAAGAGAAGCCAAGTCTGTGAGGGTACCACTTCTACCTTGTTGGAGCCCTAAGACAAGTGTCCCTTGTCCTCTTGTCCTTTCAGTGCGCTTGGAGGCTCCTCAGCTCTTCATATCCCAGCTTTCCCAGGAGGAGGATGTCTCATTGATTATGTGCCTCAAGTATGCCACCTGCTCACCAACAAGGTAAAAGCAAGTCTCCTGACCCTCCCCTCGCCCCTTGTAAGGCTCCTCTCTCCAGCGTGGCACCTACACGACGTTGTATGCAGGCGCCAGCTTCTTCACCCCATCTTAGAGTCAGTCGGCCTTTCTTACTGTGAATTACAGCTCATCCGTTTCTCTCCCTAGTTCTTCGCCCTCCTTCCTTTTCTAAGGATTCTGACCTCCTGCTCCAGCCTTCTCTTCATCTTTTAAACTTCTGTCTCCTTCTTCTGAAATTTCCTTTGTGTCCTGAGTTTTTGCTAGATCGTTCACCTTTGAACTCCTCCATTTCCCAGTTATCTGATGCATGCATGCATGGCTTTGCGGGGG